CAGGTAATCTTGTGAGAGGATCAGAAAGTCCCACATGAGAGCTATAAACATCCTTAAGTCCCAAATTTAGGATTGAAATTATTTAAGTGCAACTAATATACAAGTTTAGGGGAATTGATATGATGTAAATTTATATTATTTTACCTATGTGTTTTCTTTTTTATTTATCATGATTTTACACTTGTTGAAGGTTATTTGTGGTATTGTATAGGTTATAGGGGTTGAACATGCTTCATGAAGCTAAAAGATGAAGCAGACGAATGAGCTCGATTGACTTAACCCAAAATGATAATTATGTCGAGCTTGTTGTTGGTCTAAAATAGTTAAGTCAGCTTGCAATGTGGCCAGACCGACTGCGACATAGTTACGCCAGGTCGTGGCGTAGTCATGCAATGGCCTGGCCATTTCTAATTTGGAAAGCATTTTCATGGTGATTTTCATAAGAACTATATAAAGAGATACTATGAGATGATTAAAGCTTCCTTGGATATTGTGGAGACTGCTACTCCTTAGGTTGCAGTAGAGTCTCTGTCAACCTTTTGGTTTCTCCAATGGTTTTTTTGAGAAAGATTCCTAGGATTATTTCTTGTGAGTTTGGAGAGGTTGCGAGGAAAGATTGAAAGCAATTATATGAGAGGCATCAACGAAAATTTTGTTTTAAATGGAGAGGATCACAATGTATTGCAATGACCAATTGACTCAAGTATTAGTTTTTTGTACTCTTTTTTTTGTTCTATTTCTTTATCTGCAATAATACTTTTGTGATTTATTTTCTTGTACATATTAGTTAATCTCATTTTCATACTTCTGTGATGTAAGGTACGTGGTCTTCTTAATGTTTTCTCCTATGAATTTTGTTCCATAGATGTCTTTTTCGTGGTTGGATTTCATGTATTAATGTTCTAACATTTTGGTCTTAATTTACTTTGAATGTGACTCGATAAAATGTTAAAATTGTTTGTGATCTAACACTTCTAATGGTTTCTAGATGAACAAGTTTGTTAAAACATAATAGTCTAGTGGAATAGACATATTGCTATTAAGAAATTATAAGCTAAATAGCAAAGTAGGGAATTTCTAGAAAACACAACATGGTTAAGTCCCCTTAACTATAACATGATTTTCAACTTTGTTATGACCCAGACATTGGCTAAGGAGGACATATTTCTAGTTGTCAACAACAACATGGACTTCATAGGAAAAACATCAAACTTCTAGATCAGTTTCATAGGAGTATGAACATTTATGCCGTTAAAACTTCACAAAACCTATTTTAGTTTTATTCATCCAACATTATAATTGTAGAACCTTTCATATTTGCAAACTAAACATTAAAACTAGATTCAAAGGTTTAGTAAACTAGAACTTCGTCTGTTATATTATTTTGACAATTTTCATCATTGGATCAATACTTGTAACACTGCCGTTGCCGGTCCCAAGCCCGGATGAGAAAAGTGGAGGGTTGCGTTAGGTAGTCGACAGCCAGCGTAAAACTTGTCGAAAAAATCATGACATGAATCCTTTTGATCATTGTGTAAGTGCTAGGGCGTCCCCTGGAAGCGACGCGCTGTATAGCCTGAATACAGTGAAAAGTGTGCAAGGGCCGCTACACCGGCGCCCGGGTGTAGTGTTAAATAAGCAAGGGTTCCCACATTACGGGCGAATGCGGGTAAAGAAGTTAGTCCATGAAACTAATGAAACTATTATTAGGATAGGATCTTGGAATATAGGCACTCTCAATGGTAAATTAATGGAATTAGTTGATATTATGATTCATAGGAAAATTAATATCTTATGTATTCAAGAAACTAAGTGGGTGGGAGAAAAGGCTAAGGAGATTGATAATTTAGGTTTTAAACTTTGGTATTCTGGTAAGAGTCGCACTAGAAATGGTGTAGGTGTAATTATAGATAAGAGTTTGAAAGATAATGTTGTAAAAATTAATAGAGTTGGTGATAGAATTTTAGCCCTTAAGATTATCATTGATACTAAGATTTTTAATATTATAAGTGTTTATGCTCCTCAAGTAGGTTTAGATACAGAGTCTAAAGATAAATTTTGGAATGACTTAGAAGACTTAATACAAATGATACCTCTTGAAGAAAGAATTTTTATTGGAGGAGATTTAAATGGACATGTCGGTAGAGTGGTAGAAGATTTCAGAAATATTCATGGTGGCTACGGTTTTGGAGTAACTAATGAAGAAGGTAAAGTTATTTTAGATTTTGCTTTAGCGTTTGATTTTGTTATTACTAATACTTTATTCAAGAAAAGGGATGAACATCTTATTACTTATAAGAGTGGATCTAATAAAACACAAATTGATTATTTTCTTATGAGAAGAAGAGATCGTCGCGATTGTAAAGAT